GAGTGGATGGCTGTCACTTGAAAGGCCCCAACAAGGGAGTGCTGCTATGTGCTGTTGCAGTAGATCCTAACAATTCCTTGTTTTCTTTAGCTTATGCTATTGTTGAAAATAAAAATAGAGATAACTGGGAGTGGTTCATTTTGCTGTTGAAATTGGACCTTGAGATTGAAAAGCAACATGAGTGGACATTTATTTCTGATAAACAGAAAGGACTGATTCAAGCCTTTCAACAAGTGTTGCCTAACTCAGATCACAGGTTCTGTGTAAGGCACCTTTTGGGAAACTTCAGAAATACCGGTTATAGAGGGATTGGGTTTAAGAATGCACTTTGGAGAGCAGCTACAGCAACTACAGTCAATGATTTTTCAAGGAAAATGGATGCACTAAAAGAGTTGGAAGATAGTGCTTATGACTGGTTAAGTGACAAGCCACCTCATCAATGGAGCAGGTCTCATTTTAGTGAGTTTCCCAAGTGTGACATGTTGCTAAATAATGGTTGTGACACATTCAACTGCAACATTTTAGAACCTAGAAGCATGCCCATCTTATCAATGCTTGAGTGGATCATGAGTTACTTGATGAAAAGATTGCAGTTAAACAGAGACAAGGCAGAAAAGTGGGATTTTGTATTTTGTCCTAAGGTGAGGGAGATAATTGATAACCACATTGAAAACCTGGTTGACTGTATCCCATTGAAGTCCAATGACTTCAATTTCCAAATTCAGGTGTTCAATGGTGATCAGTTTAAAGTGGATTTGGAAAACAAGACTTGTGGTTGTAGGAGGTGGCAACTGAGTGGAATTCCTTGTATCCATGCAGTAAGTGTTGTTCATTATCAAGGCTGGAACATTGATGATTTCATACATCCATGCTACAAGACAGAGACCTATAAAAAAGTGTATGCACCAGCCATAATGCCCATCAATGGCAGAAAAGAATGGAGAAAGACAGGATATGCCCCTCCATTGCCACCTAATGATATTAGAGCACCTGGTAGGCCCACTATGGTGAGGAGAATGGAGCCTGATGAGGTTCAACCGAAGAAAAGTAGAAAAAAAGGGTTAAACCCAGAGTTGTGACTCCAACACATACTATCAAAAGGCAGCAAATAGGGTTGAAGTGCACTTTTTGCCATGTGGAAGGCCACAAAAAGAGAGGCTGTCTGCTAATGAAGGAAGGTAATGCTGATGCTGCAGCTATTGGTTTAGAAGACAGGCCTCAAAAGCAGAAGGTAACTTTGTGGCTTCAATTTAATAATGAATTCAAATTATGTTAAATTGTTAACTAAAATTGAAGTATATGTTGTTTCAGGCTCGAAGGATGACAGAAAAAGCTCCTACAATAGGACTTTCAACTCAAGAGAGTGTTGTAACTGTAAGAAATACTTTTTTATCATTAAAATTTCAAAATTTGCCTTAAATTAAAATAGTTGTAATTATATTATAATTTTTCTTGTAGGGTGAAGGCCAAGCACAGAAGAAAAGAAAGCAAGTGAAAAGTCAAACCACAGTCCCAAAATTCATTCCAACACCTTCAATGTACAATCAATATAAATCTGCTCAAGGGGGTCCAACTTCTGGGGTGAACATTAGAGGACCTCCTAGATTTCAGGTGGGTCAATTTATACCAAGTCAAGAAAGTTGCCTTTCAGAGAGGGACAATAGGCTGAAACGGATATTTGAAGAAAGAGGACAGAAGTACACATCTGTGTCTGAGCTTATGTCAGGATTAAACAATCAAAAGAAGAGTGATTATGGTAAAGGAAAAGAGAAAGTGTTGTGATTATGGATCATTATTCTCTTTCTTATGAACTTGACAGTTTTTTGTTTTGGGATGTTGTTTTGTTTTGGTAAAGGAAACTGAAAACTGTGATGTTGTTTTGTTTTGGGATGTTGTTCTGGTTTGAATGGTTATTAAATGTTGTTCTGGATTGAATGGTTATTGTTATTTTGTTATGGGATATTGTTTTGTTATGGTGAATGGTGATTGTTATTTTGTTATGGGATATTGTTTTGTTATGATGAATGGTGATTGATTTAGATGGTTTTCTTAATGGCTCATTTTTTGAAGTTTTGTTAATGACAACCTAATGCATTGTTGATTTTAATCCTTTCATCTAAGTTGCAAAATAACAGAAATCAATCCACTTCATAATACAAACATAATACATTTCTTGCAGTCCACAAAAATCAATCCACTTCATAATCAACCAATAACATACTCACTACATCAAAATAGATCACACCTTTTTTTTTGAATGCACAATACAAATCCCATCTGCTTGAACAAACTCTTTACTTCACTAAAAAACATAAGGTCAAACCAAAACAAATACCAAGAATAAACAAGTGAATTCTCTTAATCTTGTCCATCATCATTTTCATTTGAGAATCAAATTTTCCATTGGAATCTTCAAGCATTGAAATCTTCATCTTCAGAACTTTCACTTCAGCCTCCAGCAACACAATCTTCATTTCAGATTCATGAGCCAAATCTTGATTATTCATACCTGATGAAGTTGCTGAGTTGATTTGAGAAGTTGGTTCGGCCCACATGAAAAAATCGCACCCTCCTTGCTTCCATTTCTTACAACCATGGAATCTTTTCCCTGGATTCGTACACGTCTGCGAAGTCCTCAATTGCGCCTTCTCTCCACATGAGCATAAAATTTCAGACGGAGAAGAAAATGAAGATGCTGACATCTTCGTGATTCTCTATTATTAATGTTTTGATAATTGAATTGAGTGATTGTGGTCGAAATTCAAGGTGGCGATTTTTAGGGTTCTTCAAATTGCCCTAATTTGTGCACGATCGAAATGGTGAATTAGGGCTGAATTTAGTGATTTCCCCAAATTAATACCTGGTCATCGGTTGGTCAACGGGTGTGGTGCGATTTTCCCTCCAAAATGTACATCCGTCCACGGTGGCATACACGAAAATTCCACGTATGAAGAGCCCGGAAAAGAAAGAGCCATGTAATAAATTAATCACGCCACGTCGGATTTTTATCAATAGGGGGTGATTAGTGTGCCGTTTCCGACCAAAATGCCAACTTCGTGTCTCTTTTTTGTGCGTGCCAACATAATGTCTCTTTTGTTGACAACGACCAACTTAGTGTATTATTTTTGTACTTTTGCCGCAATCAATCGTTTGTATTATTCAGGTGATGAACGGTTAGAGCTCATGAGCTCTCTGGTGTGTAATCCTTTCGGTTTTTTAATGTGAGTTGTATTATCATTTGGAAAAAAAATATATATGAAACCAAAAAAATAAAAAATAAAATAAGAGAATGCCTGAGCAAATTCATTCAAACTTGGTTACATTATGATCGTCTAGGCGTGGCTCAACCCCGCCGGGTCGTGATCGAACATTAGCTTTCGCTGTGCTTTCCCTTTCCTGTACCAAAAAAAAAAAAATCATTCAAACTTCCAATCATTTTCTGTCTTGTATGATGCATAAAAAATAAAAAAGATTCCACACTAATTTTTCATTATCCTCCCCAAAGTACCCCGGCCCTATTTTCTCCTTTCCCACTTGTCCTTCTCAACCTATTTATATATTACTCTATTCTTCTCATGACCCCATAAAATCCCACTCTCACACTAAAAAACTACTACAAAAACCTCTCAACTCTAAATCACCACCACCACCACAACAACAAACAAATAAGAAGAAAGAAGAAAAAAAAAAACTCAAAATTTTTCTTCCTCATTTACAACAACAACAATGCCATCCCAACAAGAACACTTTGCCTTTGACGCATCCGTACTAAAAAACCATCCCCACATACCGGCCCAGTTCATATGGCCCGATCACGACAAGCCATGCCCCCAGCCCCCGCCCGCCCTCGACGTGCCGCCCATCGACCTCGGAGATTTCCTATCCGGCGACCCCGACTCCGTGTCCCGCGCAGCCCGCCTCGTCGACCGGGCCTGCCGTAAGCACGGCTTTTTCCTCGTGGTCAACCACGGCATCGACAAAGGGCTCATAGAGCGGGCCCACCGGGGAACCGACTCCTTCTTCACCAAGCCTCTTAGGGAGAAGGAGAGAGCCCTCAGAAAGCCCGGCGACCACTGTGGCTATGCCAGTAGCTTCACCAACCGCTTCTCGTCCAATCTACCCTGGAAGGAGACCCTCTCGTTCGGGTATAGCGCGGGCCGGGCCACGGTCGAGAGGTACTTCGCGGATACAATGGGTGGGGATTACGCCGAGTTCGGGTACGTATATATTTATTTTTGTTTTCTTTTATCTAAATTATGTATCTAAATTAATGCAGCAGTGTTAAAAAACTCTTGAGGGAGAGTTTTGCCGCCCTTGTGGTCCTACCCGTCTCGATTCCGGATTAGTCGGTTCCCCTGTAGATCCGGAAACCGGAAGGTCCCTGTACCAAA